TCGTGCCATTACTTGTCCATGAGAAAGCACATTAGGTTTAGTTACCCTGAAACATACCAGATATGACTTAGGTCAACAGACCCCACAAGGACTATTCTTCAAATGCTCGTTTTTGTTTTAAAACAATATGTGGTATTAAAAGATATTCTTTCTTGGAGAGGTGGTCATAGATTTAAAAAATCAGCAAAATATTCATCTTGAAATGAGATGGTAGATAAATGGAGATTTATTGTCTTATTCTTTAGGGGACTATTTGAAAAGATTCACAATAAAAATAAAAAATCAAATTAAAAACAGTATCAAAATAATACCTATCAACAATGGGGTACCCAATGACCTGAAAGCCTCTTGGCTTCCTAGTATTAGGCTGACCAGTGCCACGAGGAAGCTGAAGGCTAGAATCTCAGGAAAGAAGTTGAAAATCTCAGCCGTAAGGTTTCTCTTGACATAACCGAAGATGAAAACTGAAAATAACTTCTGACCATAAAGGAAAACTTTGCTAATGAGCAGGCAATTGAATTATTTTTGGAGGGGGGCTTCCCAACGAGATAATTAGAGAAATAGACTGATTACCAAACTTCTATATTTTTATGCACTTTTTGGTCATGGCTAGCCATGTACATAGCAGCTAGTTTTGATCCTGCCTGATTCTAATAAGGACTAACATTTATTGAGGTTTATTATGTACCAGGAATATGACAAGAATTTTACACGCATTTTTCCATTTAACTATTCTCAACACAGTGCAAGATAAAATACAACTGTAGGTATGAAAGTTGAGTCTTATCTCAGTTAAGTAGTTTATTTAAAGTTCCAGTACCAAAACACAAGCCATGGCATTCTGACTCTAAAATCCATACACCTAACCACTAAAATAATTAAGGTCTCTTGAAACTCACTGTGTTTATTAATACATGTCCAGGATTGAAGTATGTATTGACTTCAGCCATTCCACTGTTCCCTATCCCGGCCCCTACTCCTGTGATCCTCTCCCACTCTGCGGTTACATCTCTCATGGTCTAAATTGCCTTTCTATCAAGTCCATGTACCACTTCAACAATGTTAGAGCTGCTTTTAGATTCTTGGATTCCCTTGATCTCACTACATTTTCTTCTTACCAATTCCCAATACTGTGTACGCTTGCCAAGGACTGAACCATGTTCCCTTAAAAATCCCTGTGGTAAAGCCCTAATCCCAAACATGGCTATATTGGATCTTTAGGAGGTAATTCAAGCTCAATTATATTATAATCATGGGGCTCTATCAAATAACATTGGTGGCCTTACAAAAAGAGGAAGCGAGAATTGAATTTGCATGAGTTGAAAAATTCCCTAAGCACATTTTCAAGTTATGATTTTTGCTACTAGTCTATATGCCTCTCTTAGTGTATGTGCAGAAAAAAGGCCACATGAGCACACGGCGAGCCAGAGAGAGTTCTTCCCAGATATAGAACCTTATAAGACTTTGATGGGGACTTCCAGTCTCTAAAACCGTGGGAAATAGATTGCTGTGGTTTAAGCCATCCAGCCCGTGGTGTTCTGTCATGGCAGCCTATGCAGACTAATATAACATCTGGTCATATTTTCTCTTAGTTTCCACTCCAAATGCTTCTGGAAAAAGTAGAAAATGGCTTTTTTAAAGCCAATGTTAGCTAATTGAAAGAGTGCTGAATCTAGAAGCATAAGTCATGACTCTCACTTATTAGGTGTGAAGTCATTTAAATTCTTTGAGTCTTTTTTCTTTCTCTTTGTAATCTATACACAGTCAGGAAAAAAAAATCTGTCCTCACATTTCACAATAAAAAATAAAATGTAGCAAACCTGTAGAGTTTTACTATTATCTCTTACGGATATTGGTAGACCCTTCTGTGAGCAGCCTTCCTGACAGGGCTGTCAGCAGGCCTCTGCCGTGTGCTCATGGCCCCATGATTAGGTATGTGAGCTTGCACCTTACTCTAGCTAGGACGCTGGGGCTTTCTGAATACAGCTTTTTCAATTTCTGTCACCTCCAAAGCAATATGTCAGTTTCTGATCCCATTCTCTCCTCCTTTGTTTCTGTATCAGAAGATCAAATTATCCCTTCTTCTCTCTTTTCCTCCGAATAACACCTCAATCTGGGACCTTGATGATGGCAATCATCTTCCACCTCCACTGAGAAAAGATCAGTTATTACCTTGCTCTTCAGACAAGCTCATGTCCTTTGTTGTCAATAACAAGACCTTGGCCTTGAGAACTTCTAAAGATATTCTCCCATCCCCCTTTCTTCCCTTGCATTGACAAGATTCCAAAACTGTTTCTAGTCATGTCTCTATTAATGCATTTTATACTCTGTCATCAATCCAAATTATGGCTTTCATCCTACTTTCTCTGACTTTCTCCTACTTCACTGCTTTGGTCAGAATGACATACAGCATTTCTCTTTGCACATCAATTTTTCAAGGTTTACCATCTTGTCACTTCTATTAAACGTTCCTATATGGAATTTCTTCTAAACCCCCAAAGAATTTAGTTTGTATTTTTAATAGCGTATTTTATTCACCATAGTATCACTATTTGTGCATCCTTATAAGATTAAAAGCTTCTAAGTCTCTCAATTTAAGATGTGGTAATTATTTAGTAAAAGTTCAAATAGACATTAATTATAAAACTGATCTCAAACCCTATAATCAAGATATGAATTCAACTGGGATGAATACAGGGTTTGTATATTTTTGGAGAAAGATCAAACTTCAATTTGAATATGGGTGAACAGAGAGCTGGGGCCCGTATAGAGTCCTTTTAGAGAAAAAAGAAAAACAACTTACAATCCTCATAGGCATTTCCTACCTTCCATTGGAACGAACTATTAATAGCCCATAGTAGATCGGCTGGCACATGTGTTCAATAAATACTTGTTAAATTATCAAAACAGGGAATGCTTAAAGTTGTTCTAGGATTATACATTAAATCAGGGGTCCTCAAACTTTTTAAACAGGGGGCCAGTTCACTATCCCTCAGACCACTGGAGGGCCGGACTGCAGGCCCTGGGATGAGCCAGCTGCTAAGCAGGACAGGCAGCAGCAGCAAAAACACCCAGAGGGCCGGATAAATGTTCGATGGACCCATGTGGCCCATGGACCGTAGTTTGAGGACACCTGCTAAATAGTGAGATTTATAAAGTGTCTAGGAGGAAAGCTAATATAGAATTTTGAAGGGCTATTCAAGCACTGATGGCTATAAATGTGAGAGGATAGAAGTCTGCCTTTTGAGACACAGAAAAGATCACCATTTGAACTTTTCTTATACACCCTATACCTACATTGTGGGTTGAAGTAAAAAGGGTTTTATAGGGCTGTACACATTTCTGGTAGAAAACTCAAGAAAAGCTCAAAGAGCCAATAAATTAATGAGGTTTCAGACATATGAGAATAAAAAGTTATGACTTCAGGTAACAGAAGTCAGATGATGGTTCTATGGCCTCCAACATGTGCCCTTTCTAGATTTCCTGAAAGGAAGAATTTGGGCTTATTTTTTTCCAGATGATTAAAAAGATAGCATTAACCATCATTGTTTCAGGGCTGTGGGCCAGGTAGGCACTACACTGAGAACTTACATCCGGATTAGTTCATTTAATTACAGAACAGCACTAAGAGGTGGGTAATACTCCAATTTCACAGGAATGCCAGAGTCACACCTTGTTCCAAGTCTCACAGTAGTGGAAGGCAGACCCAAGATTCACAGCCAAAATTTGAACTAAGCTTTTATATTCCTAAAGCCCATGGCAGAAGTTAAACACATTGGAAAGAGATGGTACCTCAACACCTGCTTGGGGAAGAACAATAACAAATTACTTATGTTGATAAACTTTAATTGATGCATATAAGCAAATACCATTTCAATTTTGATGTAATCTACCACATTATCCATCATGTGGGAATTTCTCCGGCAAGTTCCATATTTTCTCAAATGTGGCCTCACTCAACTGACCTTAGCTCCTAGTCACCAGTTAAAAATGGACCTTCAGATAGACTTATGCTACCAAATGTGACTACTACATGTTTACTTGTTGTATTTATACTTATATTCAAAGTATCTGACTAGAAAATGACTAGTTTTTTCAATTATAGTTAGTAAATTCTGGGCATGAGATGGCTACATTATCTAACGACTACTAAGTAAAACCTCAGGGTCTACACCCTTTCCACAACATTCTACTGCCCTCCACATCAGCACGACCAGATCCTTAGCATGATTAGAAATATTTTAGGCCAGTTGTCCTTAAATTATTTGTCTTTGTTTTCTTTGTTTTTTCATCTTTAAAAATGGAGAACATTATCATCTACTGCTCAGGAACTAAACAGACTACATGGTCAAAACACTTCTCATAGTGCCTGGCACAGCAAGAACATTGATCAATGCTTGTTTTTCTTTAAGTAATTTCTCTGACACAAGAAACAAAAGAGGAGCTTTCCATAATTTGACATCACGGGACTTGATTTTTTTTTTTCCATATGTAGGATAGTCAATGGCACAACCATTTCAGTAATAAATTGGAATTCATGGGCTTTATATATATATGTAAAATAGTTTTTTAATTCTAAGACTTTCTAATTTTGAAGACTAGTAACCCACGTATACTGACAAAGAACAGCTATTCAGTTAAGCCTGTATTTCCCAATCATGCTCTAAACATAGACCATCACACAGGATTATTCAATTGGCAAAGCAACGTTAGCTGAAATACCAGAAAAAAATGAGAAGAGTCTCAGCTATAATGAGGGTATGGAGAATTTTATAATCAGGGACTCTGGGAACAAGCTGTTAAAATTCAAGCATTCATTCAAATGTTGTTTTTGGATTCTATGTGGGTTTTTGTTTGTGTGTGTGTGTTTTTAAATTTTAAAATGGTGGGAGGCTTGGAGAGAAAACAGCTTTACCATGCTTAAGGCACTGAATGAAAAAGTTGTAGAATACTATTCAAATATAGAAAATTCTTAACAAGTACCAAACACTTCTAAACATATAGTATCTAATACTCTTTTTTACAATAAAATGCCTCTGTCATCTTCCCTTTTCAGAAAAGTGCTTCTCTTCCCGCTTATTCAATCACAGCGATCAAAACAATAATGTCTAAAGTAACAGACAATAATTGTTTGTCCTATAAATTTGACATTTTCAATAAATTTATGTCAGTAACTAGCAACTGCTTAGAATATTTTATATTATATTAAAGTGGTCCTAGCTTGTTTGGCTTTTCGTAAACTATGACAGTTCAAGATATTTTCCCAAATGTTAAGAAAATAAAAGTGTATCATCAAACAAGGTTTTGGGAAGAACATTTTATTGCTAAGCATATCCTGGAACGAAAATGCAAATACGAAATAAAAGGAAAAAGGAAAAAGAAAAAGTAGTAACATCACAACATTATAAAATAAAACTCCTTTTGGGTCTGCTAATAAAACAACAGGAATATGATAGAAGCTCACATACAGAATGCACATGTTCCCATAAAATTGTCCAAATAGAAACTTACGCTAAAAGGAATGTAACAAATGTATTTTTACTCAAATTAAAAAAATGTAAGGAAAGAAAGCAGGAAATCAGTTCACAAGACCTCAAGACTCCAAGAACAGCAATCTTTTATAGACATCAAGATATAATCAACTTCATATAGGCTGGGCCATTTAGGTTATCTAAAATCGTGCTTTGATATCTCTTTATAATCCTGTCTTTTTCATGACAACAAAAAAATCAAAAAATCTTAACACATTGAAATAGCCGATAATGAGGAACGCCTCTTTTCGTACACATTAGTAAAGGCTATCATTGAGATTGCGCTTTTTGCCCCATATCTTGAAGATATTTTTTCAAAGTCAAATACTCATGCAACTTACAAAGACCAGCAAGAGTAGATTTCTAAATCTAAACAGCTGTTTGTTTTTCATCTGTACAAAAGAAATTGTATATATCTGACCCTCCAGAGGCCACACTTGATTTTTTGAGTGAATATTTGTCTTGCTCTGTCTCTTGCTTTTTAAAACGCTATGGCCACAAAACCAGTGTATTTTTTTTTTTCTGTACATTGTTTCCTCTTTACAAAAAGAAAAAAAAAAGACAACTGGAATATAAACCAGACAACTGAAATAAACAAATAGAAAGGAAAAAACAGTTTTTAAAGCAGTATGTACATAGGTGACTAAGGAATTGTACCAGCAAAAATGTAGTAAAATATGTAAACAAAATCTGAGAAGATTTTTTTTTTTAATTCTCTTTGACACAGTTAACTGTGACAAAACTAAAACTCACACTTTCTTCACATTTTAAGGTTTGCTTTTTTTGTCACGTTATTATTTTCTGTTAAAACAACATTCTCATTCCACTTCAAGACTTTAACAGATTTCCTGTGTCAGTCATCCCATCAAACATACCATGATAAATATATCTGTATATATATTTATTTATATATATTATACTATTAAATTCCTTTTGTGTGTGTGTCACAGCAGCTTTATTCATTTATTTATTTCTTTTTTAAAAAAGATGGGCGCAGGGAGAAGTGAGCAGATGGAAGGATGGAGATATCCGTATGTGTCAGGCTACAAAATTAAACAACTATGAAAACCATCATCGTGTTGGGGGCAGGGAAAGAACTGTGTACGAATATTTTTCACTCTGTCATGACGTGTTTGGCTTGTGTGACCTTCCGTGGTTCCATCACAAGTTGAACTCCCCTAATTGTCTGTTTGGATTATTGAACAAACTTTCGTATTGTCTTTTCTTTTTTATTTGCATGCATTTCAATCCGTTACAGATCCAGCCCACCCCCCCTTCCCTAGGAAAGGCTGTGTTGTAGTCAGCGGGGCTTTCCCCTTCAATACAATTTGGCTGGGTTAACGTACAGGAACAACATTGGGAAGGAAAGCCAATAGCTCTGATATAACCAGCCCAAAACCTGCATAGTTAGGATCTGGGTGGCAAATTCTGGAATTAGATCCTGGGGAACCAGCTTTTCAAATCAGTATCATCCACCAGATGGAATTTTGCTATGTGCTCAGCAAAGCATCTTATAGGAAACAAACAACAGATTCTAGAGACACCACAACCTGATATGTAGAGTGAACACCATGGTAGCTTTTGAGTTCATATGGCAAGAGTCTCTCTCACTTTTGTTTTCTGAGTTTATTTTTTTTTTCTCTTCTTATGTCCAGTCACTCTCAAATAAATAAGCAAATAAATAAACAAAAACCCAAAAGCCATTTTTCCCCTCAGATCTTGAAAAGTTACACACACGCTGGCCGAAACCAGATAAAGGTTGTGTTTTTTTTGTTTTTTTTTATGTCTGTTCTTTTTTTTTTTTTTTTTTTCCTGTTTTGGTTTTTTACATAATGAAACAAAAGAAAAGAACATTGTTACAGTCAAGCTTCACAAACATCATTACAGACTCACTTGGAGTTATGGAACAAGTAAGCCATGAAGTCTTCTACCTTTTGACAAAGGTCCTCAGAGAAGGAAGCTTCCAAGTCCGCGAAAGTGCTGGAGCCACTGGCTTGCTCCAGAGCGCAAAGTGTGTGCTTTATATGATACAGCAGGGCAGAAAGAACTGTCTCCGAGCGATGACTGAAACGCAGCAGCCTCGGCTGAAGTTTGCAGAGAGATCCATCTCTGTAAGTGGCATCTCCACCCTAGTCACAGTACACCCCATCTCGGTTAGAACAGTTCTGGCACCTGTCACCTCTCACGGTCACAGTATGTGCGTACGCGTATATAAAGAATTCCATTTTTAAATTCGTCTGTTGTCAACGTGGCCACGTTTACACGTAGTACTCTTTGTCCTTGTTCTTCTGCTTCTTGTGGCCGCTCTTGGAGCTCTGCTGCTTCTCCTTCATGAGCGTGCCGTTGCTCTGCGCCGAGTTGCTGATGTAGTTCCGCGTCTCGTCCACTTGATAGGACCCCTCGTCCCTGTTCCTGTACTTGTACATGGCATACAGGAGGATCAAGATGCAGAGGGCGGCAGCAGCCACAATGCCGACGACCATCCCTGTTGTGCTGCTCGACTCCCGGATCACCTCTGAGGCCCCCGGGACCCGTCTGATTCCCGGCTCCGTGGGGTTTGCTGTGGGCACATTACGGAACATGGGGGAAGTAATTAGTGGGCTCTTCAGTTTGGTGCTGTCTAGCTCATAGGCAGTGGGCAACGGAAGCAAGACTATATCAGGCTGGGGTTTGAGATCACGGTTATTCATTTTGCCAGCTGGCAATTTGGGCACCATCCCGGACGAGGAGGAAGCTGTGAAGCGGATCAGCTCAGGGGACAAAGATGTGGTAGTAGTCCTACCAGTTTCCGAGACTTTGTTAGGTCTAAAGTCCTTGGATTCCCACTTGGGCGCATGTGCTTTGTAGCCACCTTCGAAGATTGAAGTGGAAAGACTCTTATCTGTTACCAAGGAGAAGGTGGTGTAAAAATCTTCATCATCGGTAGGGGGCAGGTTAGAGTCAAAGGTTTCCCCTGAGCCATACCCAGATATCACCAAGCCATCATCATCACAACCTTCGCTGCCTTGGTCCGACAAGCAAGGTAACCCCGCCTCAGAGGTCATGGACAGGGAATCTTTGGTGGTCTCAATAATGGTGAGGAGGGGGCGAAAGGTAGGGGGGAGAGTAATGGAAGGTGCACGAGTAGCAATAGCAGGGGTAGCTAAAGGGTCTTCTACAAGAAGAGGGATTACTAATTCACCTCCTGGGATGGAAAAGAGAAAGAGAAGCAATTAGTATATTTGCAAACACAGTTCACAGTGACTCTCAGTGAATGTAGTTCACAGGTTAGGCTTCGGAAATTGTAACAATGACTCGGAGCCACATAAGGATCTTTTCGGGTTATGGCCTAATCGTTCCAGGCTGATGTAGAGCCCATTTTATGCCTCTTGCCACCCAAACCTGAAATCTCCCGATCAGGGACTTAGGTCTTAAAGATACTCTCAAGTAATTATTTAGATAGAATTCGAATGTGTATGCTGTTTCCAGGATCTGCTTTTGGGACGATGACATTCAATCAACTCTATTGTTCTAAATACAGACTGGCTATCAAAATGCTGTGTGTGGCTTCATGCACACTTTGTAGGTGTAATGTAGGAATGTATTAATGTGAGTGGAATGTTTCTTTCTTGTCTGCTTGTATTTCTACTTATTTGCTCCCAGGAGGATGAAAAAATGACCTATTCTGCATGTTACTGAGACCAAGATCAAAGAACATAAAAATCTTTTGTCTTTAGGGGTTCCTTAAATTACCACCTTTAAAAAAAAATTGTTTTCATGCTTATTAATTGAAGTGCTCATTTGCTACAAGCTAAGTTACAGGGACTTAAACATTCATCTAACCCTTTTTGACTCTGCTTTGTCAGAAATTCCCCTATTAAAAGACAGCTTGCCTTGCAATAATCTAATATATATTTCTGAATTGCTTTTATGGTATATGCGATATATGCTGGACAAGAAGCTAGACTTCAAAAATACCCAGCTTAGATATCTGGGACTTGTTGAAAACTTATTTTTAGATTCAGAAATGTTGACCTAGCAAAGTGAGTGTTTTACATCAATGAGTCTTAACTCAAATGGCAAAATACAGATTGGTTGACCCATGGTTCCTCACTATTATACCTATAAACATGTGGACTAAGTCAAGAAAGGAAGTTCACCGTAGTTCATTAAATCATAGTGCCTTGCAAATCATGGGTACCACAAATGTTCTCCAGTAGAGACTGCTTACCTAACTGGTAAGGCCAAGGTTATTTTTCATCCAAGGTTGGCAAGATAATCAATCTCTCTTCTGAGTCTTTTTATAATGTTATTTTTCAAGCAAAGGAAGAATTCCCAAAAGTCACAGTGCATGTCTCTTTATTGAATTTATTCCAGAAAAGTTTATTCCAACCATCACTTTCAAAAAATCCTTTCAGAGATGGCACAGATGTTTCCCTGCCCCAGTTAGTCAGATAGTTGATATGCTACTATGATATTCTTGTTGAGGGCCTCTTGTTAAGCTAACTTACTAAACTGTCAGCCAATACACTGACCTTGTGTGTCCTTCCCTCAATAATAACTTTACTGCGATGAGATGGTCAATGTTTGAGTATCTGTGCACCTCTTATCAGTGACAATGTCAAACAAAGAAATGGTTCAATACCGCAAAGTTCCAGGAACACTCCAACTTCTCTGAGCTTACACAGTCTTCCAGGGTTCTTCCTATAAAGACTGATTCACAAATTAGAACTCTGCTGCTCAGCTTTTAACACCTTTGAACACATCTTTAAACATTTTGTATGTATCTAAATTGGCCAGATGACAATAAAGCTACTGAAATATCTTCAAAGCGCCGAGAAGCCTTGCTTGTACCCGTGTCAGATGCCTTTAAACCCTCCTGATTGGCCAACATCATTGTTATACAGAAATAAAGTGAGTTGGGGTATATAAGGTATATAAAATACATCATTTGGCAGGGAAGGGACAATAGACATTGTACTGTCATTTTTGGCCTACATGACAATTTTACTCTATGTGGAGAAATAAAACAAGAACCTTTCTGAGAATCTTAGCATGATATTGTGGTCTGCTCTACACCCAGGGTTCTATTCCAGGGCTTCGAGTTTACAACTATTGAGCAAAACGATCTTTGTACCTTTGCCAGCATTTCAAACTTGATTTCCTGGACTAGCATGCCTGTGTTTTTACATTGTGAACATATATAATTCATATACCTAGCAACTTCTTTAATGCATAATTTATATACTTTTGCTAGTTTGTATAAATGGGATTTGGGGCACAGTTCCCTAAAGGTAAGCTCGTCCTAAACCTAACCCTGAGCAAACTTTTTTCTCTTATTCTTCTTACTCAGAGGGTCCCAAGTGGTAGATTTGAGGTGATATATGGAAGCGGGCAGTGTCTGAGAAGCAGGAGAGCAGCAGTGAGAGAGATGTGGGGAAGGCCCATGGAATCTGTCTAAAGCCTCGCCAGGGATTTCTTAGAAATGATTTTTCTTTCCTTCAGAGGACAAGACAGGACTTTTGTTTTTTAACCCTGCTTACCTAGAACAAAGGATTAACGTGTGTTCTTTTCTGGCACAAACACCAAGAGTCATTTGTTCCATGTGGCAATGATAAAAACCTGCCCCAGGTAGAATAAGCAAAGAGGAAATTGAATTAAAGGACAAGGAATACCTCATTTGTTGGGAGATAAAGGCCTGGTACAAATAATTTAAATGTAGAGGCCAACTGTGGGGTAGGATGCTGGTGTCCCTTTAAGTGAGATTAAGATCACTGTCTTCCTGATTACAGAGTGGCATTCATTTGCATTTTTAGTGTGCCATCTGTGATGCCCAACTGGAGTCTTATATTTGCATTTTTTTTTTTTTTAGATTTGTTTTCTCTCTCTTCAATCCTAGCTAAAGCTTCTGTAGTGTCTTTGTTCAAAATTTCAAAAATCTACCCACTGTTTATTCTGCAGTTGAATTACTCCACTTTCCTTTGCTATCCCTTTCCAGTCAACCCAGTGCTGTGAGCATCTCTCTTGGATTAAAAAAAAAAAAAAAGCAAAGAAAAACTGTACTTTTCAGTCTCATAGTATTGAAAAAGGGTTCTACTGCCTATTAATTTATAAAGAGCTCAGCTCCTAAAATGCTGGTGAGCCCCAAAGTGAAATGATAAGAACTTATCTGAAATCTAAATGGATGGGTATGCTATTACATAGCTTAGATAACAAAATTTGTCAAAACTACTATCTTCAGATTTCTCCACCATTTTGTCCTTAATCCTGATAGCTAGCAGTGCTAAAAATGGTACATACATGATGCCCTCTGTCAGGAAAATCTCAGCCCAAATTATCATTAGTCAATGAAATGGCAAAAACCTTCATAACCTCCTTCTTTGGTGTCTCAAGAAATGTGAAGAATGCCCTTAGTTTAATATGAAGTCAACCAGGATATAGGGTTCATTATTACAAATGGAAATTTTGATAAAAATGTGGACATTTTTAGATAATGTAAGCACAAAAGCTGCCTCAGGCAGGTGAATACGTTGGAATGTGTAATCAACTTAAATATCAAGTTCCATCTTTAAGGTTAAGGTGATTATATTTAAATCAAAATTACACTGTGTAAGGACCCCCATCATTTGAGTGATGGAAGAGATGGAGATACAAGTATTACTTCCACTAGAAGAACTACTTAATTGAAATGACTTAGTTTGTAGGAGGGCACCGAGGAATTTTTATTTGTTAAGTCCAAAGTGATTACATTCAGAAATGTTACAGCAGCTGACAATAATGTTTTTCATGGTCCAGAGACTATGGAGTCAGTGATCAAACATACATCTATGTGTTTATAGAAGCAATGACCCTAAAGGTATAAAGGGCTACTGCTAGAGTGATAAAAAACTTATAACACATTAAAACCCTACATTCCTATGCTATCCCCAAAATTTGTCTTTGGTTTGGGAAAGAACTACCTGTATTCCTTAAAGTTGGCATTTTTAAGTCAGGCATATATACCCTTGACAGGGTTGTGCTTTCCTTTAAACTAGAGGGATCATTAGGGATCAAAGGTCTATTTTAGCCTTGAAGGCTGCCCTGCTTTCTTGCTTCATGAGTATATTTATAGATACATAATTCATGCCTCCAGGGCAGGTATCCAGCAAAAGGGGCTTCCTGCCATTGAAAAAGACAGTGCATAAAAAATTTAATAGAACTTTGCTGAACTGTGAGAACATTGTGGGTGATGGTGAATGTAGTGGGTTATCTTAAAAAGAGAGAGAGAAAGAAGTAAAAGAAAAAGGGGGGAAATAAGAAAGAGCCTAAAGTTTCAGTGTGGCTCCAATCCTTGCCCTTTGATCGATATCTGAGTCTAACAGGTCACAAAAATACCAAAACAATGATGTTGAACAGCAGGACTCTGAGAGAGGACACCATATTGCATTTCCTTGAATTTCTGTTATATTCTATTTGGGCTCTTCGCCTCATCTCTTATTTGTATGGTTCTAATTCTGTGCTTGGAAATTCACATATAATGGAAAGAAATAATTCTTTCCCGCACTAAATGAGTTGTTTGAAGATATTCATTTAGTTATTTGGCACCATAGCACTGTGTACCTGTAGCACATAAATATTCTGAAGCTTGTAACCATGAAATTACTTTTCACCCACCTTCAAAAAATACTCATGGACAAACATGGCAAGTGCCTAGGGAGAAGACACGAGACAAACTCAAGTGTCTCAAAGGGGCTTAACTTATAATTTAATATGATGAGAATTTCTAGATAGGGCTCTGCTCTCTCTTCAGACCAAATGGTTTTTATGAAATGGGTTTGATTCTGAAAGCTTTACCAATTCTACTTTTTCAATATATGCCCAGTAAGATGAGCCACAGCCCCTTGATATCACTATGCATTTTAAGATACAGAATGTCAAGTGTAGTTGTTCACTTGCTTATTAATTAAGAGCTCCACCTTGGAAGTCACTCAGACTTAGCCATATGGCTTTAGTAAAATTTCTTAAACTCTATGTAAAATGGGAATAATTAAACAGACTACCTAAAACCACTGATGTGAATATGAAAATAAATAATTAATGTTAAGTGTTTGTTATTTTATTTTTGCATGTTAAGTAGTTAGTAGAGTGCCTATTAATACTCTGAAATGCCAGGGATGAGTATTATTTCTATGTGTAGTTTCAAGCCACAAACACTTAAATCATTGA